TACTGACGGTCCGCGAACCACCGGCATGTTCTATGAAAACAGTAAGTTCTCTTCGGCAAAGTTCAGAATCGTCTCACTATTGTCGCATCGGGAACCAAAACACTGCGGTCGAGAATGTAAGTAAATAGTCCTCGGGTCTAGTTATGCCTTTCAAGTTCCAAGCAACAATCAACAGACCATGCTGAAGGGGTCTTATAACGAAGCCTCAGATCTGCCGGTAGGAGACTTCTTTATCGCGCTAATAGACAGGAAACTTCGGTGCGTACAGGAAGACAACAAAAAGGTCTAACTTTTAATCATACTTTATCCAGTGAGTCAGTGGCTGGCTCTTACGCAAATATCGCATGTTTCGTTTGTTGCGAGAGGGCGATCGTCACAGCATGTCTACGAAAAGATTCTTCTTAGTCGCTAGGGTAAAAGTTGAATGTTGCGAACCTTAGTTTTAAGGCGCCTGAATCAGTGACTGTCTGGACTTCAGACAAACACATTGCACTACAAAAGGCCGTGCTATGTCAAACTTTGGGTATTAGGATCGAAGAAAATTCGAAACTTCCAGCCTTCAAGACCAAGAGTGCGCTCTGCAATGAGTTGCTCATCGAATACTGTTCGCCCACACTACAGCGTAACATGGAAAGTGAAAGTGGAATGTGAAATGTAATGGGGGGGGCGTTGATTACAGGCGGATCTTTAACAGTCGGGATCCGTGCCGCTGTCCATGCCCTCTTCTTGTGATGCAACGTCTGGCCAAGTGTAGACTGTGACCAGGTGATGTATGAGGGAGTGTAATGGCACGCCAGCCCACTCCGTGCTGTTGCCCCTTTCCTCTTGTCGTCGTGGTAAAACCCTGGTCAAGTGTTTGTTGCGAACCAGGGAGTTGGTGCTATGCCTACATACGAATTTCGCCGTGCCAGCCACCTGCGCCCGATCCCCCATACGATCTTCTCGACTCAGTGAGGTTGAGGGAATAGAAAGTGCGGTAGATGCTACGCAAGTCTACTATCACAAAAACCTAAGTCATTGAGAATGCGTCCCGTCTACAGTGAAACACGCGGTGGACAGCATCCAACTCAACGGCCGAACTGTCACCCAACAGCCATTCAGATAAGTTCTTGGAGATGGAGCCTTCTAGGCGTCGAACCACTAAGCAGGGGTGACAAGTAAACTGCTTTAGCAGCGGTTGACTGTGGTCATATTACAATGCCGACGTCATGTTTTGTGGCATTTTACGAGACGGTTTTTGTGCCAAACCTCTCACGCCCTGGCCCCTGGCTGCTTATTTATCAGACACAAAAACCTGCTTATTTCTCAGCTGACTTTCGCCAAAGGTTTTCGATTTATCCACCACAAGCGGATGAAGCGTATACTCAGCGTTTAGATCAACGAGGAACGTGTAGCGCCTCCGGTTCGTAGAAGACGTCTGCGGTACAGAGACCATGTGACCACAGTTTTCGAGCTGCCGGACACATACAGCCTCTGAGACAGCCAATTATAGACGCCCATAAAGTGCTATCACTTAACCACGCGGACGCCGCCTGACGTATGTCGTATGACGTTTGTACATTCATGCTCACATCACGCTACTGGACAAACACGTACGTGC